TTGCACGTCAGCTACACCTGACGATGCCTTAGATTCAACCGTGCAGGGCTTTTTTGCCTCTGGTTTTGGTGAATCATCACTTGAGCGCAGACGTTTGCTAACCTGCTCATGAAGGGTTTGTTCCTTCACCTGAGACAGATTCTGCGTACGCTGCTCAAGAATTTGGTGCAAAACGGTTTCATAAGGTACCCCGCTCTTGAGGAGACGACTCGGTCGTTTCTTGGCTGCACCACCAAACTTTTTTTTTTAGGTTCAGTTATTGGATCAGGAGTTGGAGAGTTGGGAAGCTCTCGCTCCTGGTCTAAATTTACAGGAAGGTCAGTTGGAGTTGTAAGCTCGACATCCATCTCGTCTGCAGACTCAGTGTCAGAAAGAATTTTTGAGTTTACTCTGTCCATAAAAGTTCCACGAGTAGCTAGGCAAAGAAGGTTAATCACAGTAGAACCACGCATCACCGTGACAGGGCGATGCCACAACGAGAGGGCGCCCGGTATCTCGAAGGTTCCGCAGAGACAGCTGATAGGCTCAGTGTCATTCATCCTGTCGGCATGGATACACACACCTTAGGATTAAGCCATCGTTGGGATGCCGTTCAGTTAGGGAATAACAGAAACACAAGTGATTATGTCTGATTGTAGATAGTGTGTAATATAGGGGTGCAATGACAATAAGTGTTTCATTGTCCCTTTTGAACACTACACGGTATACTCCGGGTGTCGCTGCAGGGTATCTGGGGTCCTTAACTAACTTTAGACGACTTCGTCTGATGGTTCTTATTGGCCTAAATATTGGTTTCACGTCGTGTTTTCTGAGATTCTCCCAATCTGGTCTGTAACATTTTCAACATAGGAAGGAAAGCTTTTCCCTTGGATAGACTAGCACCAACTCGTCACCAAATTGCCTTCGATAATGTCTACCGCAGTAGTAGATGAAACATCGGGCATTAACACCTGCAGATCACGGTTAAAAAAAACAGAAAATTGCTTTCACATAAGTCAGCATCACTAGGAAATGACTAGTTTCAGCAATAACCTTTTTATTCGAGCGAAATTTCTTACCGGCGACCATTTTTTTGAGTACTGCAAATAGTCAGTAGTCGCTGGGAGCCATATCTGCCGAATACCGTGGATGTTGAATTTATGTAGTTTTGCATTGTTTTGATTGATTGGTGATACGGTGAGTAGTCTCGATTTTTATTCTTTGACATGCGGTGGTTTATTTGCAATTTCGGCCTTCAAACGCTCCAATAACGCTATATCATATTCACTGTTGATGATATTTCCCTTCTCAAGATAGTTGAAGAATAGTACACCACGAACATCCTAAAATACCGAGCCAATAACCTCTCCAGCCGATAACAAAAGTAGTGTCACTCTCAGCACAATAACTCGTATCATATCATGAAATTTCAACAGCTTTCTTTTGGAGGTTAGTACTAACTGAAAAAGCGATGAATGCAATGAAACTAGCGACATTTATGTGTTAGTCCCGAGACTTTTCAGCCCAGGTAGCATATGCATCTGGACGCACCATTACCTTACATTTAGGTTATAAAATGAGTATGATTGTTCTCGAAGTTTATAACTGCCTGTGTTGATACCTAATCGTTACCTGCATGCGTGAGAAATAAACAAGAGGCTGATTGAATTGAGACATTTGTTCATAGATTTCACCTAACATTTTTTGATTCCCAAACTCTCGAAGGTATCTAAAAACTTGTTGTAATATACCGGCCTCATCAATTTCAACCATTCCTCAATTATTAGATCGTTAGATTTGATCCCGTTAAAATTTTTCTCGTGGGGTTTTCTTGAGTCGCAGGTGTAATCGAATGAGCCACAAATCAAAGCGGTCCTCTAAGCCAACATAACCCACGATATCGGCCAAATTCAGTCTGATTTATGCGCCAGAGTCATGAAAAATTGGACGTTTCGGATGCGTTCCACCAAAAGAAGACGTGGCGGATATTTGAACGATGACATCAATAGGTCTTTCAAACGAATAACAAATTTTGTTGATATATCTCACACACACTTTGTTTTATTTGAATTTGAAGATAGGACCTGATTAATGAAAAATCCCATACCTTTCGAGTGAAGGGTCACTTTCTATTTGAGAAAAAAAGTTGATAGCTATCTAGTTATCTAATTTTTCTACACTGGCCTTCTATGCCTTCAGCAACTCTCAATTTGGCTTTCGATCCAATCGTTCAACCATAGGTGCAGCATCAAGGATTCTGGAGAGCCTGGTCCAAGGTCTTGAACAGGGGCGCCATATGGGTATCACCCTGTGCGACCTGTCCAAGGCTTTTGATTGCGTCTCCCACGATATTCTACAATAGAAAAAATCAATTATTACGGCATAAGAGGGGTAGCCTTGGACTTAATTGAGTCCTACTTAACTAACAGATTTCAAGCGGTGCTATACAATAACTGTGTATCCGGTTTCAAAGATGTCAAACTATGCGCTCCTCAGGGCTCTGTATTTGGTCCGCTGTTGTTCATTATCTATATAAACGATCTGACCGCTTTCCCATATCCACTCGAAAGTGTTCTTTTCGCAGACGATACCACATTAATTTATTCACACAAAAATCACAACTCAGTGGTCAGAGTGGCTAAGGAAGCGGAAGAGAAAGCCGAGTCTTGGTTTCTCGCGAATAGACTCAAACTAAACAATGACAAATTCCAGCAATTAATAGTAACCACAAATACATCTCTGCAGGAAGACAGAAATGTCAGACTGCTTGGCCTTGTCCTGGATGACAAACTCACCTGGTCAAACCATGTCAGTCAACTAAGCCTAAAATTGTCCAGCTCACTCTTTATAATCCGCAAACTGAGGCTCGTAACAAACTCATACACCCTACGAACCGTTTATTTTTCCCTCTTTCAAACCCATCTTAATTACGGTTTACTACTTTGGGGAACTCAACAGCGGCACCAAAAATATTCATACTACAAAAAAGAGTTCTCTCCAACGCTAATTATCGTGATACATGCAGACTACTTTGTAAAGCACTGAAAATTATGACCCTTCCATCTCTGTCCACGAACACAGTACCCGCGGGGCCAATAAAATCAGAGTACCCAGATATAGACTTGCTAAATCTTCCAAAAACTCACTCAGCTACAAACTATGTAATGTGCTACCAGATAAGTTAAAAAATGCAACCATGTATACGTTAAAATTCACTATTAAACTCTTCTTGACGGACAACGCTTTCTACTCACTAGAGGAATATGAAACTTGTGTGATAAACGGGGGCTTGATGACGTATACTCGCTGAGCAGTCATAAACCCAACCTAAACTAATAGTCTCACATGTATGTATCTATGTTTAATCTTAATATTAACACTTAATTTTAACTAG